CATTGTGAATGGGAATGGAGATGCCACCACCAAATTGACCAATGGAGATGCAGATGGTGCCGATGGAGGAGGCGGTGGGGGCGAGGTGACGCTGAAAGCCAAGATGAGTCTCCTCAACGGCTGCACCGTCATCGTGGGCTCCATTATTGGCTCTGGAATCTTTGTCTCACCCACGGGCGTACTGATGTACACGGGCAGCGTGAACCTCGCGCTCATTGTGTGGGTCGCTTCCGGACTCTTCTCGATGGTGAGTGTGAGGGAGCAATCGCGGCAAAGTTCATAAATATTAAGTTAATCATTTAAAATGCAAATGGAGAATAGGTGTTGGGCACACCTGTTGGGGCTGTAAAACAAGTTCGTAGAAACAGCTGTGGAAATGAACAGCGGATGAATGTTTAAGAATGTGGAGAAGGACCTTTTCATTCAATTACGAATGCTGGCGGCGTTCCAAGGCGTCGCTTAATGAAATTATTGAAATTCCACTTCAACTTCTCTTCAACCACTCACTCATTCACACTTGTACACCCACCCACTTCCCCCACACAGCTACGGACATGATGACAAGCCCATGTCAAACGCACGCGCCTCTGCTTCAGTTCTTGGTGTTCAATAAACATTACGTATACGCAGCATTGCCTCGGGTTCGCTTTAACTTTTTGTGGAACACTTTAATTTATGCTTCTCTCTCTCTCTCTGTCTGTCTTTCTTTTTTGGTTGCCCTATCGCTTTGTAGGTGGGTGCCTATTGCTATGCCGAACTGGGAACGATGATCACCAAGTCTGGCGCTGATTATGCGTACATCATGGAGACCTTTGGCCCATTCATGGCCTTCATCCGGCTCTGGATCGAGTGCATGATCGTGCGACCCTGCTCACAGGCCATTGTGGCCCTCACCTTCAGTACCTATGTGCTGAAGCCCTTCTTTCCAGAGTGCGCCCCACCAGAAGATTCGGCCCGTCTGCTTGCCGTTTGCTGCATATGTGAGTATCCGTTGATTTTGCTCCAGCAATTAATGCACTCGTGAATATATTTTCCAGGCGCGTACTTGACCCATACTCGTAGATTAGAAACCCATTTAAATACTCGAACATCCAACCCCGCGAGCACAAAGCAAATAAACAAACAGAAAGAGTTTGCCATGTGCGGCTTATCTCTGTGGGAGGGGTCTGCGCGGAATGTTGGGTGTTTTCACTTGGGGCTTGAATTTATTTTTCATGAAAGATTAGAAAAAAATATATTTTGGATTATTATTAATATTAGAAATATATATTTCAAGTACTTGAAGCCGAGGAGGAATGTTCAAAAAATAAAGAAGAACTAAAGATTAAAGATGCCTATGAGGTGGTAAAGCTTCTCTTAACTCTAATTTCCAAATAATTTAAAGGGAAAATTAGTCTTCAAAATTATTCTATAAAGGAAACAGCCAGCAGATTAATACCAACAGATGGAAAATCTTCCTTTAATTGCTGTAGAGTACCCTGAAAATATTTAAGTTGAACATATTTGTAATCAAACATTAATTTCCATTACCTAAGCCGAACATGTGCGTGTAGATAGTGGCTGTTACTTATATTTAATATTGATTTAATTGTGCGGAATCAAGTGCGTTCACATGACACAATGGCCAGAGTAATAAATAACGCATGGGTCGGGGTATGGGTATGGGTACGGGTACTGTCAGATGTTGTAAGTCCTCGCGGTATTACATCACCCACTGATGCCTGGTGATATCTTTCGCCAAGCGTGACACTACTCATATACTACTCGTAAACTTCTCGTATATTATGTGTGTTAAACGACTGCTCTAATGGGTTTTTTCTTTTCATTTCATTTTTTACAGTGGTGCTGACCCTAATCAACTGCTGGGACGTTAAATGGGCCACCGCTGTGCAGGATATCTTCACATATGCCAAAGTGAGTTAAGAAAGATTGAAAGTGGCTTACTTTACCCCCCTCCCAACCCTAGTAAAACGAACTCTATTATTTTTCCCTTTGCAGCTGCTGGCTTTGTTCATCATCATTGCCACTGGGATGTACCAACTGTATATGGGCAATGTCCAGTACTTTACATTCGAGAACACAGACACCAGAGTCACGTCCCTGGCGCTGTCCTTCTACTCGGGCTTGTTTGCGTACAACGGCTGGTAAGCGGCTTAGTTGCCTCAGATTCCAGTAGGGGGTCAAGTACTAATTGGATTTATCTGCTGGCATCGTTGACAGGAATTACTTGAACTTTATCATTGAGGAGCTGAAGGATCCCGTCAAGAATCTGCCCCGTGCCATTGCCATCAGCTGCACCCTGGTGACCATCGTCTATGTGATGGCGAATGTTTCCTTCTACACCATCCTGTCGCCGGATGAGGTCTTGGGAAGTTCGGCAGTGGCAGTGACCTATGCGGAGCGAGCCTTTGGCGCGTTTGCTTGGACCATACCAGGTGGGTGGATAGAGCCGCCTATGGGACTCCCATTCTTCAGTTTTACTCATGAATTTTCTTCACTCCTGCAGTGTTTGTGGCTTTGTCCACCTTTGGAGCCGTGAATGGTATCCTTTTGACCTCCTCGCGTCTATTCTATGCCGGTGCCAACGAGGGACAGATGCCCGAGATCCTTACGATGATCCAGATCCAGAGATTCACTCCGACGCCGGCTGTGCTGGCCATGGCCCTGCTCTCCATGCTGTACCTCACCGTCTCCGACATCTTTGCGCTGATCAACTACGTTGGATTTGCCACTTGGGTGAGTTGAGGGAGCCTCTCATGAAATCCCCTCGCTAATCTTGTCTTTCCCTTTCCAGCTGAGCATTGGCGTCTCTGTGCTGTGCCTGCCATGGCTACGCTGGGCACAGCCCAATCTGCCACGTCCCATCCGTGTTCCCTTGGTGTTCCCGTTTGTCTACTTGCTGGCCACCATATTCGTGACTGTGGTACCGATGTACGCCAGTCCCGTGGAGACGGGCTATGGCATATTGATGATCCTGTCGAGTATACCCGTCTATCTGGTGTTTATTGCCTGGAAGAATAAGCCCATCTGGTTCCAGAAGTCCATGGGTAAGTCCTGGTGACCAGAGTCTCCACATCAGGCAGTTGCTTTCCCTCCTTTGCTTTCATTTCGATTCACGCTGTACTCCCAACTCTGAAACTCTTACAGGCGGACTGACACAAACCCTACAGAAACTGATGATGGTTGTGCGTCCCAAGGCGTCGTCCAAGGTTTTTAAGTTTGCTATTTATCCTAGTTTTAATTTTGATTTAACATTCAGATTGCCTGCCCTCAAACTTCAGCACTAACTTCTAGATAAATCTTCCACCAATGGCAGAGGATTTTGCACCCTCAAAACATTAATTTGCACACCAAAAAACTCTAATTTGCACCCCAAAAGAACTCTAGATACTTTGTAGATACAAGAGATCATATCCCTTATTGAGAGACCCCATTAATATATTGATGTTTTTGTTCTTTTATTACTTTGCAGTAAGCCTCACACACTTCCTACAAAAGCTGCTCATGGTACTCGGAAAGCAAACGAAACCAGCTCAGGTGTAGAGATTAATGGATATTCTTCGGGCAGAGATTTTCGAATTCAAGTTGAAGCCAACAGCAAATGAAAGCATTTAAACACACACTCCAAATTGCATTATACGACACTAGTAACATTAGACAACAGAAACAAGTAAACGCGCTTTTTTACACATAAAATACACACACAACTTCCCTGGAAAGGAGACGGAAGATGCTCTGAAAATTGTCATCTATAATCCCAAGTAAACAAAAAATAAGAATGAGATCTCCTGGCCAGCAATACAAAATATATAATTAGCATATATTTTTATATACACATGTATGTATGAATAAGTTGAAACAAGGCCCAGTGTCCAGTAGGTTTATACAAATCTGAAGTTCAATAAGCAGACAGCTCTGGGGACTCCAGGGACTTTGAGAAAGACTGTGAAACGAATTGGAAATTACAAGGAAAACAATTGGTCCAGAGTTGTATGCTAATTTGAGTTTTCTCTTTAAGAATTTCGAGTATTCATCAAATTTCTTTGGAATAGTTAAATGTTTTTTGCTTGTTCAATTTTAAGCTAGACTTCACTTGATGTCATAAACGATAAAGGATATATCCGTACATACATATATCATGCATTGAAGCAGAAGAAATACCATTAGAAATACATACTTCAATTTGTGAAGTGAAACTCACTCATTTGACAGATTTACAGAGCTCTGAGATTAGTTCTTAGAAAAGGATCTATTAATTTTAAAGCTTATACGATATAATTTTAATGATACGTTTTTTGTTTAGTGTAGTCTTAAGTGGCCCTGCAATTTTATTTCATCAATTTTTGTTTAAGTTAAAGATAAAATATTTCGATTTCAAATTCCATTCCGAATAGTTCGTGGAGTCCTTTTGCTTATGGGAAATTCAGACAGCGAATCAACGTCATGCAACGAATGTGCCCTAGTGGAAGCAGACTATTAGTTCGCTATTATCAGAGAGTTTTGTAGAGAGGTTTTTAGTGAAAAAGAATATATCGTGTGACTACTGTACAAAAATTCTGATTGAATCCAGCTACCTTTTGGCCTCCAACACAGAGAACATTGCCTAACCATCGTCACATATCCAACCAACAGAGAGAAAAGAAAAACGTAAACTATTCCCAGAAACACACATATTATTGTAATAATATTGAAAATATTGGAAAAATTGTTGTCTAATTATGAATGCGAATGCGAGTATACGAATCTAATTGTAGCATTGATTTCAGCATTGATTAGTTGTTGTTGTTGCTTTGGGTGTCTTTACATTTATTGGGGGGCAGAGAGATAGAGAGAGAGAGAATGGGAATGCCAATGATGCCCCCCGCAAGAGTGTTAATCCGTATAACTCGTATTATTGCCTATTTAGCATTGAAGCACGTAACACGTTACGATAGGAGCCGCAGCTGGGGAATCTGTTTAAACTACTATGGAACATATTGTTGACAATAATATTGTATTTATATATAAATGTATATTAAATTATATATGTATACCCCCTACAAAAATTGTGTGTGTGTGCTTTTTGGATTTCGTGCATAATTGAACAATACCCGTACAAATGGGAATGCTTTCCCCTAAGGATCAACTGATTTATATTAGCTGTAATTATCAATTCGAGGCTGGTTCCTGTCCTGACTCTGGTTTCATAAAGTCAATCAATGTGAGTCTCATATTTGCAATTGCCTTTAGCTTGAACGCCTTCTCCATCTCCGCCAGTTCGTAGTTTTTGGTGCTGATGTAGACCTTCAATGTGGCGGCAAAGGCTGTCTTCTTCACATCGATCTCCAGCTTTCGGAACTGCTTCAGCAGCTCCGTGTACATGGTCACAGGAGCCTCCTCCTCCTGATTGATGGTCCGTGGCAGCCTGCCATCGCCACCGCTTTCGTCAGTCTCAGATTCCGCATGCTGTTCCATGGATCGCAGCTCATTGCAAATCTCCATGCCCTTTCGGCGATACAAGGTCATAAAGTGCTCATCCATGCTGAGCTGCAGTTCCAGGAGCTTAGAGTCGATGCGATTGTACCAATAGGCGAGGCTGTTGAAATCCTCACCCGAGAGTCTTCCCCTGCGACGGAGCAAACGGTTCGAAATATTTGGCACTGATTGGAAAGTGTTTCTGAAGCTGCAACTCGGAATTATTTTCTGTAGATTCATGGAGCTGCGTGAAGTTGAACTTAATTTTGATCGCGACATAGGGTTGGTGGCTGTGCTGTGTGCCTTCCCGATGGACACGTACGCCACATCGGCTAATTTCAGTATCTTGCGCATCATCTGAGCCTGCGATTCCCGTCCCAGCGGCAGCTCAAACATCACCAAAGTTCGCATGGGATGCTGAAAGTCGAACGACTCTCTGATGCAGTCCGTCAGTAAGGTGCTGTTGCTTTGCTTTCCCAGCGGCAGGGTCTTGAAGAAGTCAGCCATGTCCTGACGTTCTTCACAGCCAAACACCTGGAACAGGGTCAAGTGCAGCTTGTGCACCGCATGCTGCCCATCGCGAAACACAAACTGAATGTCAATGTAGTCGTCGCCCACTGCCCGTCCCCGGATGGTGGCGAAATCGTTGAGCAGCCACTGGAACAGCTCCCGTGTGCTCTGCAGGTTGCGGCCACTCTGATGTACTTGACGACGATTCAACGGCTGCATCGCTGTGCCTGGCTCCAGCAGCATGTTGGCCATGTCGAACTTGCGCAGATCAAAGTAGTCCACGATGATGGATTTCAGGCGGTACCGCAGCATCAGCATAATGCTATCCACTTCGCTCACCAAAAGGCGCGTCAACAGGTTCATATTGCTAGTGCGATGCGGAGCCAGCCGCAGGATACACCCACTAAGACGCTGGCGGAACATGTTATCCACCAGATCGCTCAACTCCTCGCGCACATGCGGCTCGTAGTCGTAGCCAATCGCATCGAATTCCAGATGGCGATAATACCGCGGTATTTCTCCCTGCTTTGTCTTGGTTGCCGATGCCGCTGGCATGCGCAGCAGCACGGCTTTGCGATCGAGAATTTTGAATTCGCCATCCAAGCTGCGGCCCTCCAACATTTCGGTGTGGTAGCGGCGATTCGTTTCTGTTAGGGCCACCATCACATGATGCATTCGCTTGCTTGTCGGCGTACTCATTATCGTTTGCGAACTGCAAGAGTCGTCGGTCGTTCGCAGATTTACAAATACGAGAAATTTCGTTTACTGAAAATTTGGATTGCTTTAAAAATTGTTTTTTTTTTTTTAGATTATGGCATGATTTTTATAGAGTTTATAAAGTCTTTACTTTTAAATAAATTGTGAGTGATAATGGAAGGTATATGTACTAGATATTCGACAAGTTATAGTTACGGATGCATCAAAGACAACACAAGATTCTCTATGCACGCTTCTCCAACAGGCTGGAGAGCTGCTGAAGATTCGATTGCGAGGCCTGCACCATGTGTCGCAGCTTCGTGTTGGCTATCTGATGAAGCAGCACCTCGAATTGAGCCAACTGCTCGTCAAACAGTTGGCGATAGTACTTCAGCTGCTCCGCCTGGCGCATGTACTGCAGGAGGGAGTCGTGGACAAGCTTGAAGCGATCATTAAGCTCCCGTTGGCACATCTCAAATTTTAGCTGTGAGAACAAGCTGCTATTGGAAGACTGAAAAGAGATGATGAGAAATCAGTTCCCTTCCGAGAGTTATCCACTCACCATTTGATCCTGATGATGCGAATGATGGCGTCGGCTAGCCAGGTGCGCCAAACTCCGAGCTGAACATTTTCGTCATCCACCTGGGTGCCTGTGGCCAGCACATGGAACAGTATGATCATGTACAGGCGCTTGCTGCGCATCTCATTCGCTGCTTGCTGTAGGAACGAAGTTAGTTCAGTGGCGGCTACCAAAGCGGATGTCATCATATCATCGCTGAAATAGCAGCGCAGACCGCACAACGAGCTCACGCTCAGCTCCTCCATGGCCACAAGGAGTACATAAAGTCGGACATTGAATTGAAGATCCTGCTCCAAGTGGGAGCAGGCTCCAATGCAGATGCCACAGCTTCAATATGTACAACAATATTCTATGTTTTTCAAATAAAAACAATATATTTTCATATTCTTAGAACAGAACAAGCTTAAATTATTTACTATTTACTCTGCATCAAACGTCTTGGTGTATTTCTCGTACGGACGCTTGTCGACGCGTTGAAGGCGATGCTCCAAAAAGGCGCGGAAATTTTGCATTTCAATCGCGTCCTCGTGTATCCGTTTCGTCCCCCTTGAAGCCCTCCAGCACGCCGCTGTTGAAGCATTGCCGTTGACGACTTGGCCAGCGCTAAGGATTTGGTTGCTATACGCGCTTCGTAGTCATGATATTAGCCAGGCGGGGACAGCGGGGGTGGGGGGGCACCCGTGGCGACCCGCGTGCGACGGCCCTCGGGGCCCAGGCCCGGTGGGGCACTGGGTTGGGAGCGTGCCGTTTGGCCCACTGGGGCCTTCTTTGGCCACTTCAGCTTCCCCCCAAAAGTTTGGGTTGTCTTCCAGAATCGGCGCAACTCTTTTGTATGGGGAAATTGGATTATGACGACAACTGACTACACTTCACACGCGCCGCCCGACGGCCGCCCGTAGGGGCCGGCCGGCCGCGCCCCCGCGGGCGCGCGCGGGGCCGCGGGTGTCCCCCAGCCGCGCCCAGGCTTTGGGCGCCCACGGCGCGGCGCCGGGTTGATGACAGAGAGGCGACCGCACACAACGCCGGGGCTGCAGCTGGGACCGGCGGGGGACAGGCCCCGGGCTCAGGCTAGCAGTTTTTACTTCTAATCCACTTATGCTCTCATATGGACAGTACAAGCATCTGTAATCTTTTTTCCTTGGACCAAATTCACATTTCAATTTTCTGTTTCTTTCTAACGATTGTTTCAGCATAGTTCTTTGGCATCTTGCGCATCTTGTTAATCCCGATTCTAGTTCGCTCTAGAAAATATAAATAAATGAAAATATAAAATATATGTTGATACTTTACTTTACTTGCACTTCTACCCATCCTCTAAACGTAACAGGTAGGTCTTTGTTCCATGGGCGCTCGTCCCATGGAGGTAGAGGTTTCTTTTGTTTCTTTTCTTGTTCATCGGCCATTGCTGAAAAAGTAAACAAAAACCGGCGCCGGTTTGCAGAAAATTAGTATGACCAGATAGCAGATGATGCCAACTCAGTGGAAAAAGGATGGACGCAAATTGCTCAAAATGAGAGCACATAAATGGCTGACTTTGCGGGTAATTTTAAATTTAATTTAAATTAAAGTGGTTTCTGAAATTTATGCTGCTGTTGTGTGTTTTGCTAAACTTTGAAATGTAATCCATCAATATATGTATATATATTTATATATGTGCTCAATATTTGCATATTTTCATATTCAGAACAAGCTTTAATTACTCCTTTCGTGTTTCCACGCTATCGTTGAAGACGATCCTCGTGTATCAGTTTCGTCCAAGAACGAATTCATGTACTGCAATGAAAATGAGAATTAATGCTGTTCAGGGGGTAAGAATTGTTCCGTGTCGTGTCGCTTACCTAAAGTCATTTCCATGATGAAAAACAAAAGCAGACACATTGAAGTGTCGAAACGCAACCAGGCGCAGGCCGCCAAAGAGTCAGAAAAGGAAGTTGAGCAGGAAGACCGAAGCCTCCAAAGCGTTCCCAATTCTATGGGACAAGGAGCATTTCAAGAAGGAACTCGCGAAACGCATGCTCACGGATGTTACGGTAAATTTGTATGGAAAGTATACACTACACGACTGTAAGAGTAAGTTGGAAAATGAGCCAAAGTTGGAGGACTCGGCGTCAACGAAGTTTCAAAAACTGTACGACAGTGAGCTTCGAAACTTGAATATTATTATGGAGCGCCATTTCGCCATTTCATCGGATCTCTTAAAACTCTATACAGTGCACAGCAGGAGATTGGAGCCCCTGGGCAAGGCGCTGATCCCAAAACGGGATAAACTTGCACCCACATGATGAGCTTCTGAAGGACCCAATATATTATATAGCCCGTATGGTTGGGCTTATGCTTATGCTAACCACACCAAAAACATTTAGCAATAACGCGTAATAAACAAAACAAATTGTGTTAAATTTTTTTCAAATTTTTCAATTTATATATAACGGCATGCTGTACACTTACAGTTAGAAATTAATAAAATACCAAAAGTGCCAGCCAGTGACAGGAACAACGATGGATATACAGCAGAGGCCGGCAGCGTCGTATGCACTGTGCATAGGTAAAAATTTCGGGTAGCGCAGACGGCACACGTACAGCGTAAAGACTTCGTGTGATTTCGTTACTCTGCGCTGCTGACGTAGCGGCAGAGAACATGCTTCGGGCTATGCACAAACGGCTTCATATTCTGTTCGCTTGCCTCAGCGGCAGAGAGGCATTCGTGTGCCCTATGCACAATTGCTCGGCTTTCGCAGCGGCAGAGAAATAAGTAACGTATTTGACTTCGTGTCTGTTTTCTTCGCACACAAACGCTCAAAAAAAATGTGTGAGTCTGTGTGCCGACCCCTGATATACAGCTAAGCGCCATGCTGCACGTGTACAAGGGGGAGTGGGGTCTGCCGACCATTGATTTTGAATGTTTACGTGCCCTGGTAGGTTCAGTTGCATCATTTCACACACAGCACGAGTATTTTGTTATCGCTATCAATGAATCAAACTCTTACCATTTCTGTCGCAGTGTCTTCTGCGATTCACCCGCTGTCCCATGGACGTGGAAACGAATGCGAATCCCCTGCACTCTGGAGCCGGAAAGTTTCCCTATCTGCAGATTGGCAAATGACAAATTCGTGGGCTACAGTCAAATAAAGCGTGTGCTAGATCTTGAGGTGAGTGCACACCGAACGGAGTATGACATTGCCCTACTCATTGGCAAAACATTCATCGGCGACCATTACACAACTCGACACGAGTTATGCTCAAGGAACAAAACTGACTTTTTCTTAAAGACTTAGGGCTTAGAAATGGTTTGATGATAATTTTTTCTTTATATGGCAGAATTTTTTTTTTTTAATTTTTGAAACCTGTTATTTTTTTTAAAGCTTTTTTCAGAGGTAGCGCTTCTTTTTTTCACGTAACTCTAGTATATTACGTCTGGTTGTAAAGAACTTTGCTATTTTGAAAAGATAATTAAAACAGCTAGAAGTTAACTTTGTCTGGAAGTTGATATGCAATGACTGCGCCATCAAGTGGCCCATGCGACACCAAGCCGAAGCCTTTTACGCGCGGAACCCAGGCAGAAACGCAGCCCCTCCTCCCGTCCAACCGACCGAGGGGCGTTGCCGCATGACGCACGACGCGTGTTACCGAACCGATCGCGAGCATGCAGGAAATACACACTTATCGAATAAATAACATTGACCCAATTAACGGGAGACCTCATAACACACGACACAGTATCAATACAATTTCTGTTAGCGATGCGATCGCGACAGCCCAATTGCACAATAATATCGTATTAATTCCACATTAATTCAATATTAATTTCACTTCTATTTTTCCCTGTTCTTATAGACTCGGCAGTTTCTGTACCTTTTGTTACCCATAAATAGAGTTTATGTTTGTCAGTATACTGCAGTACGGGTAAGCGATGTGTAAGCAACCACACATCGATGGCAACGACATGCAGCTCGATGACATAAGCGATGACCTGCCATACGATGGGCTGTTTACTTTAACACAGGGATGTCCTAGGAGCATAATCGATGACATAGTAAGCGAGAATTAGCCGAAAGTCAGGCCTTAATAAGCGATGAATTTTCCTTAAAAAGTAAGGCCCTAATAAGTGATGTATTTAAGTAAAAAATTTTGATATTTTGATGAAAAAGGCATGGGTAAATTCTGTTTTAAAATATTAAATTTCTTTTATTTATTGTTTTCTTATAAAAATGTATACATATTCACATTTTTGTGCTGTGTGTTCTTTTTTCCACAGAACCTTTTTAGTTTTTTTGATTTGCTCATGTTCGTAAGGTCGTCGTGGTCATTCAACTGAATCGCCTTTAAAATAAGTTGGGTTAATTAAAATATGTTTCAATTTGTTAACAATGCTCTCAGTAGATCAGCAGTGCATTTGCGCCAAAAACAAAACACTCGCCAAGATATGTACCTGTTCGACTCAAGACTCGCAAGAACCAATCGGGTGGTGTTTTTCTGTTTTCGTTGTTGGAAATGAAAAATTTCATCCAAAACGCATTTAATTTCGCAATATCACATTTTCTTCATTTTTTACAACGCACAATAGACTATTTTTAATTAAATGAAACACTGCACTTACCTGATAATAATTTTGCCCAAAATAAACAAAACCTGCGTCTAATTTTTCACCGCATAATTCTAACAACGTTGTCGACGCCGACGGCAAAACCGAATTCTGTTACGGCACGAGTCGTAACAGAAAGAAACAAAGAAAAAAAGAGTTTTGTCAGACCGACGCGTCGATCGCGACGTCGACGTCATATTCTACTCGTCTGTTGCAGCGGCAGAGAAAAAATTCTGAATGACGCGTAGTTGACATTTGTCATCGCTCACTTCACTGCAGGGAATTCATAAATATTTTGTCGTGTCTGTGTACACACATACTTCATGCATCGAACATGTCGAAAAAATGCCGAACGCAGGCCCACGACCCGAACGTCTCAGCACCACAGCCGAATGGTCCCAGCACCCCAGCCGAAGGCCTGGTGGTGCTGGGACAGAAAACTCAGTTGCGACACGTTCGGTGTATGAACTGGCACATCTATGTACTGTATGGTTAGTGGCCCAACTAATGCACTAATATACCAACATCCGATAAAATTTAATTGGTATTTTAATACTGTAGAAGTAAAAAAAAGAATAAAAAAGCTTGAGAAGATAGCACAGCTACATGTACATATATGTGTGTGTCGTGTCTGCATGCCTAAGTGCTGGGATGCGTGTGGCAGAAGAACAGAGACTGGTCAATCGGTGTTAAAAAACATGCCCATTTCACCAATTAAATTTGATTTGCTTTCTGTATATGTATATGGCCCGGTTTTTATACCATACCTATTCTTGGTCACTGTGGCCACGTGCAATTGTGCCTTTTCCTTTTGAATTCCGATTAGTATCGATATGAATAGTGTGAAGTTTCCAACTTTTGTCGCTTCTCAGCACTACCAAGTTTTGGTTTATTACGGTATATTTCTGCGGACCAGTCGGTATATTTTATTAATAAATCCGCGGTCACACTGCTTGACTACAAAAAGTTAAACTAGAGCTGTCAAACGATTGATAGTTGAGCCATCGAAAGTTTTGAATGTTTTGAAAAAAACAATCGATACTATCGTAATAGTATCGGGCTCAAATAATTACAAAAAAACCATTGAAACCCCTTAGGAACTTGTCCATTGTAAAAATTAAATGCCACCTGTCGATTTGTCTACAAATGTGTCTTCGTATTTTATAGCAGCCAATCCAAACATATCAAAAGCGCAACGACTGTAGCTCGATACTATCATGATAGTCGTAAAACCGTCGATAGTAGAGGCTAGCAGTAAAATATCGATACTATCGATAGTGCCCTCGATGGTTTGACACTAGAGGTGGAGAAACATCGATGCATAGATGTTTTATGGCGACTATCGATGTTTTTACAAGGAAAGTAAAGTAAGGGAAGTGCAGAAGGTATGTGCAAAAATATATTTATAAATTGAACTATTAAGATGTTTTCAGGTATTCAACTTGTGGTGGCAACATCGTGCGAGTCCGAAAGGTCTTTCAACAAGGCTGGACAGATCATATCGGACCGTCGCACCAGACTTAAAGTTGATGTCGTAGCTAAACTCATGTATCAATAAGAACCAAACCATTTTCTGTTAAACTTATAGAATAAGATTTGTAGTTTGATCTCATTAAATTTGTTTTTGTTTTCTTGCTCTTACGAATAAAGCTTTTTATTTTGTTATAAAATGAACCAAATCTCTTCAATTAAATTAATTTAATTTACAGAAAAAAAACTTTGTTTCTATTTTTAAAAAAATCGATGTTTCATCGATGTTTATTTTGAAAACATCGAATAACATCGATGTCCACGAACATCGATGTTTCTCCACCTCTAAGTTAAACATTTTTGTACAAAAATTGCCAAAAAAGCAACAGGCTGCCATATTTGAGTAATAAAATTGATTAAAATTCCAATTGGAATACATTTGGCAGCTGCTACAAAGCGAAAACAGCAACAAAGTGATGCAGAGCGCAGCTGACGGGAAAACAGCTGCTAGAGCAGAAAAAACGTTTCACCGGCCGCAAAAATTATAACACGGCAGAAAGCACGGACGACAGCAGTAGTATTTCGACTCCCTGCCCTTTTAGGGGGTTTTGAGTTCCAATTTAGATTTGATGAGCAAATGGCAGCGAAGGAATCTTTTCGCGACAGGCAGACACAGGAGCTGGAGGTCATAAAGGTGCGTTGGTTGGTTGTGGTGGTGGCGGTCGGGGGGATAGCTGTTGCGCATTTGCCGAAATGACGAAATAACTGCGGAGTTTTTCCATTTGCAGTCCATATTCGGTGTGGATGTGGAGGATCTTCGGCCACAGAGCGATCCCAACCAATGGAAGCCCACGGACATAAAGATCCTGTTGACACCGCTCCGTGACTCGTCCAATGGTCAGCCGCAGGCCTATGTGTGCACCAAACTCCATGTAACATGTCCCTCAAAGTATCCAAAAATGTGCGAAAATTGCATCTAGACATGCCCCCAGACATGGCTAATCCTAATCAAGTGTTCTCTTTCAGCACACCAAAAATCTTCTTGGAGGAGTCCAAGGGTATGTCGGATCAGCTGCTGGACGCACTACGTAGCCAGCTGAAGGCCCAATCGGAGGAGTTGCGTGGCGAAGTGATGATCTACGAGCTGGCCCAGACCGTGCAGGCCTTCCTGCTGCAGCACAACAAGCCGCCCAAGGGCTCGTTCTACGACCAAATGCTGCAGGACAAACAGAAGCGGGAACAGGAGCAGCTGGACAAAAAGATACAAAAGGAGACGCTCGAGCGGCAGACGCTTATCGATGAGGTGGAGCGTCGCAAGGAAATGTTCAAAACGGAGGCGAAGCGGCGCGGAGAGCCCCGTCGCAGCATGAGCGAGTCGAACAATCGACATGCCAGCTCATCGGAAAGCTCGGAGAACTCCTCGCCCTACTACCGTGGCCACATGTATCCGAACAAGTGCCTGGACCATCGCAGCACAGAGACACTGTATTTCCACAAGGTGGGCAGGCAAATACAACGCGGCTGCTGTTTGGGTAGGTCATGGTCAGGGTTCCCATTGCCCGGCCAAAGCATTAATTAATTCCCCTCTTGTAGGTCATTCGCAGCGTGGCTTTATTGCCTATGTGGGCATCGATATGCACTGCGGCCAGCTGCTGTACATCACGGAGTGGAACATCAAGTACGCGCAGATCGAGCAGCCCTGCAGTGGCAGCGGCAAATGCCACTGGGGCAACGAGCCCAAGTGTCTGGGCAATCATCGCGTGGACGATGTGATTGCCTCCATCGAGAAGCAGGTGGCCACACTGTCCCAACTGCAGCACAAGAATCTTATCCAGTACGAGTGCGTGCTGTGCATCAAGCGAAAGGAGGGACTGCTGGTCTATTTGGTGCAGGATTTTCCTCCTGGGTGCGAGTGTCTTTAGCATCTCCTCCTCGCTGGGCTGGTGCATGGACGGGGCGCGCATGGTGGCCCGCGGCGTGCTGGATGCCCTCGTCTTCCTCCACAACAAGGGCGTCTGTCACAGCCATCTGCTGGACAGCACCGTCTTCATGGAC